AGTGGGCATTATTAAGGCCTGGTAACTGGTGGGACACTTACCTAGTGCAGGGGACTTTGCCAGCGACATGCTGACACCGCTCCCCAAGTGCTCTAGCATTTGGGCAACAACTCTGTGGTTTTACTATAGAGTTTTTGTGGATTGCTAGAGTGTCTTGGATGCACTGCCAGCCCTTTCCTCTCCCCTCAATTCCTCCCACCGGTGCTGGGGCACTGCCAGCACCAAAAGGAATTGCTGGGAGACCTCCCACTATAGCTATAATGCTGTAGAGCAGAGATGTCAAACTCATTTGTTACAAGGGCTGGAGCTGACGTAAATGTCGCTTTGTTGGGCCAGGCCATATGTTCCATAAATGTAATGCCAGGTACCGGAGATAGAAACTGTATAAAGGACAGCAGCTGGTAAGCTCTGAGTTGGTGTATTCTCACTGCAAGGCCCCCTGGGGTGGGAGGGGGGTGCAGAGGAAAACCCACACAGGCAGACCAGAGAGGCAGCAGTGCAGTGCTGGGCAGATGCTCCCACAATGCTTGACCGCTGAAGACGAGGTTGTACTGCCGTGCTGAAGCCACAGTGGAGTGGCTCCGCCCACTCCCCTCCAGCACTTCCCTTGCATCAGTTTCTCACGGGCTGCATCAAAGCCCTGGATGGGCCAGTTCCGGCCCCTGGGCCTTATGTTTGACACCCCTGCTGTAGAGTCCACCCTCCAAAGCAGCCATTTTCTCCCTGGGAACTGGTCCCCGTAGTCAATATCAACTGTAATTCTGGGAGGTCTCCAGGCTCCACCTGGAGATTGGCAACCCTATGCATCAGGTGCCAGGCGGTTTGTATAGATCAAGGCAATTTTAGTTATGTGAAAGTTGCAGTCTGCCGTTCCATGTGCTAGCCCTTCTTTTCGGCCTGTTGGCAACCGAGACAGTGGTTTGGAGACCAAGTCAATCCCTCAGGATAAAGCTCCTTCAGAGCGCCAGACGTCTTGTACTCTAAATACTTGCAGCTCTTAACACCTGACACTGAGAATTTCTGCCGCGAGTGAAAAACCTCTCTCTCTCTCCCCCTCCGTCTGCGAGCCCCTTCTTGCATTGCCACAGGGACATTAAAACTTCAGCAATTTGCCTCTCCAAAGGCCGCCTTTGGTTCCGTGCCTGGAAAAACAGTAGGCGAAATAATACAGCCTTAAATTCCAGCATGTGTAAGTTTAAATGTCTTATTTCCATTTCCAAGCCACGTTCCCTCCAGAAAGCCATGAGGAAAAAATTACCATCTGCTTCAAGAATATCTCAGCAGAGCGTTTATCTTCCAGCCATGATCACTACGCTGGAGTAATTCTGCCTTTCACAAACAAACGTCCGCGTTCTCAATTGGCAAATCCTCAAGCCTTGTTCACCAGACTGTCTTTTCATTGCAGCGAACAGGGCGGGTTCTTCCATAGCTGTTCAGTTGCCTCCTTTCATGTGTGTTGTTGGGGGGAAAAAACCTGAATGTTGGACTGGGTGGGGCTTAGGGCTTCCAACCTCCAGGAGGGACCTGGAGATCTCCCAGGATTACAACTGATCTCCAGGTGACAGAGATCAGTTCCCTTGGAGAAAATGGCTGCCTTGGAGAGTGGGCTGTATGGCAGGGGTGTCAAACATGGCTGGCCCGTCCTGGGCTCTTATCTGGCCCGCAAGCAACTGGATATCACCATTATTGCCAGATGACAGAGGCTGTGCATTATGTCCCCTACTGTCCGAGTGGTAACGATGAAAGTGGGAGGGTGGGCATCAGGGAGACTGTACTCCACCGAGGTCCCTCCCCTCTCTAAACCCCTCTCTCACCAGACTGCACTCCTCCAAATATCCAGGTATTTCCCAAGAGGGAGATGGCAACCCTAGGTGTGCAGCATAAGGACTTTATTTATTGAATAATTGAATTCGGTGTTATACCGCCTAAAAGCCATATTGTTTTTTTTTAGATCAGTACAAAAAGCAGGCCGTCGTGGCGAATCACACGTCATAAAAACCAAGAGAACCATCATTAAAATAATAAAACAGCAGCAAGTCACATTTTAAAACTTCAAAACAGTAACAGATTAAAAATGAGCTGAAGCTTTTAAAAGCAATATATCTAAAAAGACTGTTCTCAACAGTAATACAATAAATAAAACCACATTTTTTTAAAAAAAACAACTACCCAAACTGGAAGAGGCACCTCATTCAACAGAACTAAAGTTGTATAGGCAAAGAGAACAAGAATGGTTTTACTTGACATCTCAAACCAAACGATGAAGGGTTCAGGCATATTATGTTGGGGAGGGAATTCTTGTCGATGAAGGGCCACCACAGAGAGGACCTGTCTGTCCCTCATGGCAGTCCGTCTCATTTTAGTGAGGACACATTCAACAGGACTTCAGATGATGATCTTAATATTCATTCAAGTTCATACGAAAGAGGGCAGTTCCTAAGGTATTCATAAGAACATAAGAAGAGCCCTGCTGGGTCAGCCCAGTGGTCCATCTAGTCCAGCATCCTGTCTCACACAGTGGCCAACTAGTTTCCCTGGGGGTCCAACGACATGTAAGAAATGCTTTGGTGGATCAGACCCAGGATCCATCTGATCCAACTGTCTCTCCCTTACCTTAGCCCTCCACCTTGGAAATTAGCAATTAGAATCTGATGATAGCTATCTGTTGTTTCTCACTCAGCATTTAAGCTTTGGAGGGGTACCCGTTTTCATGGACATTTCTTTTCCTGTCATGTCCTCAACAAATTAAAATGTTGCTCCCCCCCATCCTTTGTGCCTCGCCTCATCATATCCTGTGTAGCAGAACACTGAATGATTGAGAGCCTCATGCTGTTGACCATTTTCATTTTTAATGGTTTACCTTTTCACCTTTGCAAAAATGTCTATGGCTTTGGGCCAGATCAGAATGAATCTAGGAGGTGTCAGTCAGTAAATGAGCAAGATTCAAGACCAGTAGCATCCTAAAGACCAGACCCATAGCCACAGTGGTGCAAAAAGGGGCGGTGCCCCATCAGTCATTTGCTATGCCCCTCCAATCAGCATTATGGGTTAGTGTGAAATCTGTCACACTCTTT